AAATACTTGGAATCGTTTAAATTGTGGGCCCTGAATCTATCATCTATTAAATATTAACTTTTTGAATGGATTTATGGACATTAAACAACTTTTCCATGATATATATATATATATATATATATATATAAACACATTTTAATTTTTACAGGCAGCTTGAATATGTAGAAATCATCAACTGCAACTTAAATGAGCATATATGTGAGCCCATTTTAAATGTGTTGACTAAAGAAAAGACATTAAAGATCTATATAAATAGAGTTGTAAGATTGAAGAAATTTCTACAAAAATGTGGTAAAATAGTATTTATTTCACAGAAACATACCGGTACAAGAGCAGGGAAATAAAAAATAAAAAAACAGCTTATGATTGTTTTCATTGTGCACATAGCAAGAAACGATATAAAAGCCAACCATGTACATCTGAGAGTAGATGTCTGAGAGTAATTTGACGTGTAGGATCTAAAACCCACAGGCTCCACTGGTTTCCAACACTGCAGACAGACAGACAGACTGAAAGGAATGATCACAAAAATGGAAAATAAAGACTGAAACAAATAGTTCAAGAATTGTAGAAAGAACTGTCAACCACTGAGAACAAAGACGTCAATGAAACTTGTTGCCACAAAGGAAAAAAAAAAAAATCCATCCTAATGAAAAATTGATATTTTTTTATTTATTTATTTGAATTACCTAAAATATATCCAATATTTTAAAAAGTTTAGCTGTTAAAAATAAAATATCTGCTTTTCAAACTTGCAGCACCTGGTTTGCTTTACTGTAACAGCATTTTTAAAATAAAACCATTTCCCAAAAAACCCAAAAGAGCCAGCAAGGGTTCTGAATTCTATATTTTTGAACAATAAATACACACATTTTCTGAATTACTGTCATTCTTCTGAATTTTCAGAGCACACAAGAGTTTGATATGAAAAATTGTGGATGGTAGACACAAATGGTCAACAATGAAAACAACAGAAATCTTAATTGTGGTTCAAGTGACAGGAAAGAAATAAACTGAGTATGTCAGATGAAACAATTGAGTAAACGCATTCACACAGTAACTGTACAGTAACGCAGCTTCATATAACTGGGGAGAAACGTACAAATACACAACGCAGGAATGGCTCCACAGACATGGATTATCCTCAGTCACTAATGCTAGTTTCTTTTCTTACTTGCAAATATGTTTGCCATCTAATTTCTTACATATTTTAACGTTGAGAGCTCAACATCAGTCATAAAGTTAGAATATTTTGTTATGCATCATTCTCTAAATTGCACTAAATGAATGCAGCACTGAGTAAATCCATGTCTGTGAATCAATCCCACAGAATAGATTCATGAACACCACATACACCATTGCATACATATCCTTTAAAGTGTAATATACAATATTAATATACAAGTAAGTTGCGCTTGGATCCATGCAACATATGTAGAGCTAGCTTTAGAGAACATACAATCGTCAAACATGGATTTGACTTAGATGCACCTTGTGTTCCAGAACGTACACAATCAGTCAACAAATCAACAAAAAGTTTGCATTAGAAACAGTCAGGAAAACAAAAAAATGCACAAGAAGCATTTCAGAAGGAAAGTGCTGGCCATGTACAGGATTTCACTTGATTTTCTTGAGTTAGTTTGGATACTTGTTCAGAGTGAGGAAAAACTCGAGAGTCAGTTTACTGTTTACACCGACTAGTAAAAGATTCTTTAACTTATTAGAGTTTATTATTGTGCCGCAGCCGTGTAACACTAAAACTCACACGATGTCTTTGTGTGATTGTCTGTTAATATCATTCCAACCTCCATCATCTCTCTACAAAAATGCTTAAGTTTTCCACAAACCCACTTAATTTAAAATGGTGTTCTGGACCACATGCCAACATCCGCAGTACCCGTTCACAAGCATCCTCCTTTATGTGAAAATGAGCTGCAGCTTTTATTTTAACCTCTTTAAAGTACGTTCTGCATCATCAGTTTGCTTGGGGAAAAAAAACTGCTCTGGTGCTGCACAAAGGGCTCAAAATAAGTCGTAACATATAATCAAACAAAACACATTTTTAATCCACCTTATTCCTGGGGACTCTACTGTATAAATGATTATGGGAACAACTTCCTGTCAGACAGGAAGTAGCACTAAGCATTGGTTAACCATGGTAATGGAGCATGGTTTGTTTGAAAGTACGGTAATTTGCTTTCAGTTTAGCAGCTAAAACGCTGACTTTGTTTTGTTCACGTTTATTTAACAACCGTAAAGTTTACTTAAGTAGTCGTGCTGAGTTCAGGTACCTGTTGCGTTGGCGGCTGCATGAACAACCAGACCAAACTAAGTCAATGGCTACAACAGTGTTTAGAACATGGACTCAAAACAAACAAAAAATAATAATATTCCTGTGAAAACGTATAGTTTCCATCGCCTACCTACAGATGAGGAATTAAGAAGAATGTGGCTGAAAGATCTGAACTTGAAAAGACCAAACGGCAAACGTCCGATGGAGAAAAACCTGCATCCTACTTTGTGGCTGGACCACCGGGAAAGAGACGCCGAATCCTCAATAGGATAGAAAACAGTGTGACGAGAACATCGGGTATGATGTCATGTGTATGGAGTGCACAGCATTATAGTATTTGTTTGTCTTCAATATTACAATTTTCTCTGTAATTAACCCAAGCTCGGTGATGGAGGACTTTAAGGCTTTGGCTGGACTCTGTCTGTTTTATGGTAAATAAGATTGTGTCCCACCTCTTTTACACGACTGCTCTTATTACTCTGTAGACACTAATATACCTCAGAGCTTTTCAGGTTCACCGCTTCACCGTCGGAAGAACCGAGTCAATGAAGTAGCCAAATATGCCAGTAGATGTAATCTGCAGCCACTTTTTAATAGGCAGCGGTATGATTATATTCTCCTATTTGAGCTTTGACAGGTGGTGCTTCTACATGTTTAAATTAAATCCACAATGCTTCATTAGCTCGTACTGTTCACACATAAACAAATGCCGGTTCCAGTCCGTGCTGGAAGTCGCACCCATAATTCACGCAAGGCGCCATGAGGGCTAGAAATAAGGTGGATAAACGCTACTTTCTGCATCATCTGTTTGATTTGAAATAAACTCTCCCTGGTGCTACACAATGGGGCCCTAAATATGTATGGAAGGCTGTTGTAACATATAATCAAACCAAACTCATAATTCTAATACCTTTTTTTAGACATCAGTAATAGTTCACCCAACTTGAAATGATTCAATGTGTCGAAAACTTAGTTTGAATTAGGGAAAATTAAATTCAACATTCAGAAAAATACCAAAGAGAACACTTGATGGACAGAAACAAATATAAACTGCAGATATACAAAATTAGTGCACCTGTACTGTTCACTATTACCTTTGTACATTATGCATAACATGTTTAAAAATTAACATTGAGAATATCTGAAAAAAAAAAAAAACATTTCTTACAAGGAGAAACTCCTATTGTTATTTAGTTTAAATTTATTAATCGTTTTGACTAAATTATGGGTATTTACGTTGAAGAACCCGGCTAAACTATTATATGACAAAACAGCTTGCCATATTCCAACCATCCTGGTTGTATAATGCCTACTTGTATGGGATGCGTCTATTAGTTTATTATAATATAAACCCAAATGTTTATTTTTTATTTTTTATCTAGTTTCTGTTCAGAACAAACAAGTTTAAGGTTTTAAACCTATCTTGGTAACTTTTAATCTTAAAACATCTAAGCCAAAACAAATACTTGACATAACCAAACATAGTAAAAAGTAAATTTATTTCAACACAACCATGACTTGGTATTAGCTCTTTCAGTTTGAATTATTTTAATCAATCATATTTGCTTTTTAGAATGTTTAAACTTGACGTTTTAAAAAAAAAATTCATGTTTCATCTTAAAATGTGACGGGGGGGGGGGGGACGGGGACTATTTTTCAGACTATAAAAATATTGTATAAATTAACTGACAGTGAATTTAGAATATTTGATTTAATTACTCAAATTTTAGCTTCTATTTTTAAAGTAGGTGACGTTCTTTAAAAGTCTTCTCGGACATCATTTGCTTCGGCAAATCATTTATCAGGAATCTAGAACGCATTTTAAATCTCTAGGGTGCAACTTTTAATTTTAACCAAGTATGCGATGCAATGCTGGTGATCTGTGAAAGGCCTCTTTCTCTTCCTGTTTCTTTCAGTCACACAAATACTAACTGTGGATGGATAGACAGAGGTATATAGGAAACATAAAATAAAATACTACCTATATTTAAAATGACTGACAGCACAACGAGATAATGTGACGTAAAATAACTCATGCAGCCTATCACGATATCATGCAACATAGAATAATTCATCATAAACTAATTTTTTATTACCCAGTCTGTCATTTTTGAACCCTAACCTCCAAGATCATTTGCCCCGATTGCTCTCTAACCCCACCCCCTTCCTCAGCGGAGGCCCTAATGCCTGGCGTCGCTGCTTTGGTGTCGCTCGCACTCACACACATTTACACACACACAGGCAGAGTTAAGGCTTCCTTCACAGCACTGAGTCAGTCAATGTAAGAATGAACACATGCAATTATATTCCTCCTCACAAGAAACTCAAAAAAACAAAAGAAAGTGAAATGTTCTGGGTGATAGAAGACAGACGAGCTGTTCCACAGTAAATTCTACGTTCTCCTGGTTGGCAGCTGCACATCTCGTCCTGATTTGTTGCTTTAAAAGGCACAAGGAGTCATCCCACCTGGAGCAGCATCCTTTGTGAGTGAGCTCAGACGTCCCCGGAGCAGCGTTTCCCCGCCAGCCCATTAAAGAGTAAACACTGCTGGAGTCAAGAGAGCAAAGTCTGTTTTGCTGCTCGTTTGGAGTCTGTTGAACCTTTTAGGGTAGCTCAGTCGGATGACACCATGAATTAATCCAGGGAAGTCTTTTAAAAATGCACCATGTTGCCAGGTGGAGTCCGAAAAACCCTTCCACGAGTTTATCCTCTAGTCAACCAGCGTGTCTCTGACAAAAAAAAAAAAAAAAAGGGTTTGACGTTTACTCACTTTTCCAGCTGACAGGTGACACTTCATCTCAACCTTGGAAGAGTTGGAATAAAAAAATAGAAAAAGAAGAAGGGGACATGTGAGGATGAGCAAAGAGAAAAGACAACTGTAAAAATCATGTTTAAATCAAACTCATCTGGGTAATTTGCTGCATTGAAAGCGCATATTTAAATAGCAGAGTGGGATAGAAGTTATGCAGGCATATTTACAGGGTTATAATCTGTGTGTGTGTGTGTGTGTGTGTGTGTGTATCCCAGCCTTATAATCACAAGTTGGCTGGCTATCTGACGGGTTGTCTTGTTTATAGCAGCTCTTTGAAACTTTTTTTTTAATCCCAATAAAACTAAATCCTACACTCCTCTTAGCTTAGCGCCCATTTGAGGACATTCTGTGGAGTTCTATGAATCTGAGACAATACAGTTTTAATTAGCTTCACACAAAGTGGCTGCTTCTCATACAAACGAATCGGCGAAACGGATAAAAAAATAAACAACTGTAACTACCAACGCCTGCTCAACATTTGCACACAGCGAATGTGCAAAACGCATGTCAATTTAAAAAAAATAGCTGTCAAGGCGGAGTTACCTTGAACATGAGGGTCATCTTAGATTAGGATTGACTTCATCTTGACCATGGAGGCGAGCTCCTGTTTGGTGGCGTGTTCTCGCCGCCTCTGTCTCATACTGAGGAAATATAACACCGACTGTAACATCTCCCTCAGAGATGGAAAGAAACGGATTACACATCAGCGTGTGTGTGTTTATGTGTATCTTACCATACAATAAAGATGAGGGAAAGTACGGTGGTGAGGATACAGATGGAGAACAAAAGCAGCAGAATCACCAGACCCAAGTTACCGTCATCCCCGTCTGCAGGATCTGATGAAGAGGAAGGAGGTAAACAACAGTAGACATCAGTAAAGCAAAAACATGGGAAATAAATATGACAAAAGTTATGGAAACACAAAGGAAAGTTGATTGAAATAAAGAGATGGTCTAAAAGTGATAACAGTTTTGGAAAAAGCCATCAAAATAAGCAACACGGAGTCCCAAAAAAACAACTGTGTGTGGTCTCGGACTGAATTGCTCCCTGGTTAGAAGCTCGTCTTAAATTTGCCGTTACAGCTTTCGCGCAGACATGCACCAATTACACTTCGAAAAACAAAAACTTTTTTTTCACAGGCGCAAAAAAAAAAAAAAGAAAATCCTTCTGCTCTGAGAAAAACAGCAGTTTGTGAGCACATCTGTAAATGACAGCAAGTTCACACACAGATTATAAACAGTAGACAACATCTATTCCTAAAGAATGTTTAACTCTTATTTATCTTCTGGGTTATACTACATGTGTGCATGATCACAACTGCAGGCTTCTTCTAGTTCTGGTTTCATCTATTTACTGTAGAAGTCAGCTGCTATCTACTTAACTTTTCATTCAGAGAACAAATGTTGCAGAAAACATTAACACCCTGCAGGTGCAATTTACTGCCATTATATGCAATTTGGTGATGGGACCAAACATGTTCATGTCTGCTCCTAAATGCACTGTAATAACTGCAAATAGCACTGCTTTTAATGAATAATTATGTATCATGTATGATGATCTTGTTTCAGCCGAAAAAAACAAGACAAACATGCTCATTTTGTAGTTTTTTATGCGGCTACGAAGCTCATAGCTCACAAAACAAGATGTCAAACCAGACTGAGGATTTATGACGAAATTTAAAAAGGTCCTAAATTTGGATTTTCCAACATATGAAATAAGTCTTAGTCATTATCTGGTTTGAAAATGAAATACAACTTCATATGAACGTATGTCATTTTACAACACACCTTATAAAAGCTAACCTAGAATGTGAAAATATATAATGGTGTGAAGAGAAACAGTCTGGTTTTAATCTTTATATGTTTTTTGTTTTTTTTTTGTAGAAATTTTCCACAGTGTGCACTGAGTTTTAATGTAGCTAAAAATAGAAGGAAGCTATGACTTATCTCCAAAGATATAATAGGACGTATGTGACAAATAAAGAAACAGTCAATTCAGTAGGGTTACTATGTATTTAGCTGTTTGCATAACAGTAGAAATGGCATCAACAATAATAATAATCCAAAAAAAGTTCAGTTAGGTCATCTGGACACTTTTTTTTTTTGGACATTTCGTCCTTCATCCAAAGGACTTCATCAGTCAGAGGAGTCACAAACAAACTCAGTCCCACTAGCAGCACACTCCCATAGTGAACCAACCAGTTTTCTGGTGATGAGATTGTTTCTGGGGTCCGCCCACTCCCCTGTCAAGCCCTCTGAGGCAGCCATAGCCAAAGTGGTTCAAAACATCAAAGTTCATGCTCAATAATCCCGGTAAAAAAAATCTAACAAAGTTCAGTCAGGTCATCTGAACGTTTTCTTTTTTTTGTTGTTGTTGTTGAGACGTTTTGTCCTTCATCCAAAGGACTTCATCAATCTTATACTATGGGCGTGTCCATAGTGGACCTATGGCTTCTTGAATTGATGAAGTCCTTTGGATGAAGGACAAAGCGTCTCAACAACAACAAAAAATAAACCGTCCAGATGACCTGACTGAACTTTGTTGGATTTTTTACACGGATTATTGAGCATGAACTTTGATAATACCAATACTATTTGCAACAATCCAATAAGGAATAATATAAATGCATTACTGTTGGACTTTAGCTGTTAAAGAGAACTGTAGCTTGTTTACTTTTCTGGATAATTTAATAAGCCTTACTGGGCGTCTTAATGGTGAAAGTCTCAGATTCTGTGCTGAAGATAGCATAATAGTCTGGAGGCTCTGTGTCCTCTACAGGGTCAGGGTTGGTGTAGGCTGTGGTGGGAGAAACAGATACACAGTTAGCCAATGATATGTAGAACAGACAAAGGTTTTAGGTTATATGTAATGTATGGTTATAATTCAGTCAATTTCACAGATACTTTGCAATAATTTGGTTTGGTGGTGGTTCAACATTGACCCCAACACATGCTTTGTGGGCGACGCATTCCAAATGTTTTTTTTTTGTACTTTTCATTACTTGTTAGGGTCAGCCTTGCTTGTCTGTTAGCAAAATATTTAATAAACCATTAAATTAGGTCCAATGAAACTCAGAAAATAACCATTGGCTGTACAATAGAATAACGTTTGGTGATACAGCCACAGCTAATTGGCATTAGCCTACATAAAAATGATAAACTACAGTTATTTGTACAGGTGCTGAAATAAAATGTGGGGTGGTTATAGCTGACAGTCATCCTCAACACGTACCCTGAGGGCTAACAGATCAAGCTAATAGTTATGTATACTATTATGTAAATTACAAAATCAAAAATGCATACTATATGTATATTTAAGCTTAACATTTGTTAATTGTTCCACAGTAAATTGGCTTCCATTGCACTTTTAATCATTCGTTTCTTTGTTATTTTCTCACCCACCTTCCCAGGGTCTGACGAGATGCAGTTGGGTCCACTCGCTCCACTGGCTCTCAGAGTTCACCTCGTCCCGGGCTCGAACCTCTACCTGGTGGAAGTGACCCGCCAGGGCATCAGCTATCACAACTTCATCCCCCTCTGTGAAAATCTGTTCACAAACGGGGAGAGACATGACACTGAATGTGCACATACGAGGATGAGAAAAATAAAATGAAAAACAGGTGAACACTGCGGCGATCGTTTGTGTTGTGTTTAAGCTTAACGTAGGTTTAGAGTGACAACGTTTAAAATGGTATTTATATTTTAATATACATTTTCCCCAGTTAGAAGTGAGTTTTTCTTTAGGTTTCATTATTTTAAAAAATGGCTTTTGTTTTACTAACCTGTGACCAGACCTTCGAACCATGAGGCCTGTATCTAATGTGGAAGAGGAGGGGGAAAGAGATTTCCAGTGGCCAGGAGGAAGGGTAGTCCCATGTGACCCTTAGTCTTGTTGGAAAACCCTCCACTTCTTTTGCAGACACCGACTCTGGAGGATTAGGTTTTACTACAAGGAAAGCACAGGGGAAAAAAAAAGACATACATGAGCTTTACCTTTGCATCAAAAACAGAGTTATATCATAACTTTACTCCTTGGTCTTGTGTAAAGAAGCTCATTGCAGTAAATATTAATAGCTAAAAAGCACTTGTTCAGCTGATGGATTATCTTAATGGATTTTTTATTCTAATAAATAAACACTGAGCCAAGGAGTCTTTCCTGTAAGTGGCATGTTAAGAAAATAAATCCCGTGTCAATTTATTATCATTCAAACAAACATTTTCATGACCCTGAGGCAAATGTTTTACTTTTTTGACATGTCGCATCAAACTGTTCCCATCATCTTATGTGATCTTACAAAGCTCATAAAGCCTGAATTGGAGAAATGTTGTCTGGGATCCAAGAGCATTCGTCTCTGTGACTCCGAGCATGTGGATAGTCTCCCAGAAAGCAGGATGGTGTACATCACAGTGCCTGTAGGTGACGTCCATGATGCATGGCCTCGGCACGTGACCCTTCCCACTTGAAAGAAACATAAAAGTACTGGACTTATTTTCTTGGCGGAAAAAAAAATTGACAGATTTCAGCTGAAAACTACAAAAAATTGATATAACCTTAATGTTAAGCCACTCATGTTCAAAAGAGAAAACGTGGCTTTTCTAAAGGATAGCTCAGATGCAGTAACAGGCTCTTACCTAAAGGAGGCGTTGTAAACAGCTGGCAGGAAGGTGTTCCCAGATTCCCTCCAGGAGCAGCGAACGTGTGTGTAATTGGGCACTTGACATGAAATGCTCAACAGCCCAGGGGGACCTGAGAAACAGGAGAGTTTTATTTTGAAGCCAAAAAAGGACAGAGGTTTATTTACTCTTTTTTTAACTGGACTTCTTTTACTGTTTTTATAAGTCTTGTCCTTGAACACGAAACAAACCGTTTTGGACCCAAATGTCCCCATCGTGAATCAAAATAGGATAGGACTGGCCAACGCAAAGCAAAACTCCCTATTCCTCTGAAGGAAGCCCACTTCAGAAGCCCCTTCCTGTATAAGACAGTAACAGGAAGCAGACGTCTTTGTGAAGCCCGATATGATCTATTCCCTCCTCTTTCCTAGCTCTACTCTGATCACCCCTTTTATTTCATTAATACACTTCTCATAAGTGAAACAATACTATTTTGAAGTGTTGGGAATATCACTAAGAAGGTAAGACAAGATTCCAAATGTCAAATAATTCAAAATAAAAACAGCAGTACACAGACATTTTTGAAAGTCACCCTTTTTCAACTCTTCTAAGCCCTTAATAAATTACGTGGACCTGAAGAAACGAAGTATCACTTACGGCCCAGCCTGAGACTGACGGAACGGAGGAGCTCGCTGTTGTTATAGCAGCTGTAGTTGCCTTGTGCTGATTGGTTGACGTGCAAAAGGACTAGCCGGCCATCCGATGTCACTTCGTGCCACGGCAACACCGAGCTGCGATTGTGGCGCCACACCACAGGGACTCTGGTCAGGGACATGTAGAACGTTTATTATCATGCTGAGAGATTTTCACACATAAATCTCCTAATTATTTTAAAATTATGTGTATTTTTCTTTTTTGCCCACTGATAATATGAAAATGTACATGCATAAAAGTAAACTTAGTCCAACTTTCATGAATAATGTGTTTCATAGCAGCTACCTTGACAAAAACTAATTCAGCTAATATGCTTCAAGTGTTATTTTTCTTACCCGATTTCTGACTTCCCACATTCTAGCGTCACGTTTGACTCCAAACGTCCGTACTGCACGCCTGACACTGCAAACACAGACACGACGCCAAACATTAAAGCACATTTTATTCTTGATTAAAGAATCTGCACAGTGAGCCATCTGTCACACAGTGTGTCTGTCTTCTCTCAATTAATGCGATTCGAGCTCTGTCATTTACAGAACAGCCAGCAGTGTAACAATAACATGACCATAGAAGGTTTGGGATCCAGCAGGCTGGAGGTTTGAAGAGTCTTTGGCACACATCCTGAAACTATTGCAATGTGTGTCATTTATTTATTTATTTTCTTAAGTTTGCTACTGAAATTTTTGGAATAGTGCTTTGCTTCAGGGAATCTACTCTGGGACATCTTGAATAACAGATGGACACTTTCAGAAAGTAGACCGTCTACATAAGTAGACTGATAAAGTCTTCCGGATGGAAGACGAAACGTTTCTCCCTCAAAGAAACTGGTCCATATGACATGATTTAACCTTTTTTGTTGTCATCTACCTGGATGATTGAGCTTACAACCGTTTTTATGAACCATTTTGGCCTTGGTGTCCTCAGGCTGTTTCTGTGAGTAGCAAGTCGGCCATCTGGCCTAAGACATTTGATTGTTATACATGATGATTGACTGTTTTGGGCGGATGTGTTAAAAGGGCTGCTTCTGAGATTCCAACAGGAGGATGGCTTGAAACACAGCAATGAAGGTTGCTTATGGGACAGATCTGGTTGGCAGGTCGCAGACTGATGTCTTCCAGATGGAAGACGAAACGTTTCTCCCTCAAAGAAACCGGTACAGATAACACGATTTAACCGTTTTTGTTGTTATTTACCTGGATGGTTGATCTTACAACCTTTTTTTTTTCTTCCTTTCAGAAGGTACTTTGTCACTGAGCCTTGGCAAGGGGTGCAGGTTATAAGTCCCTAGCTTTGTCACAATATTCATTCTCAGGTCAGCTGCACTTGTTTCCAGTCCCTCGGGGCTTTTTAAGGGGGCTTGGAACCCATACATACGCTGATGATACTGTCATCCATAGCATCTATAGCCACTTTGCCTTTGATAAGTGTGACTCCACTCGGCTCTCATCCTATCGGTTCTTCTCAGGTGTAGGCAATTTGCCACTGTGACTTGTTTTCCCATTCTATGGGTGGGACTGTCAATCTAAAGTGGGCAGTATCATAACAGGTCATTGCGTTTGAGCTACTCTGCCCATTGTGGGCCTTAACTGCCCTATAATCGTACTTCAATTTCTTTAGCTTATCCCGACACAGCTTATAAGTCCAAGTGTAGCCATGCTGTGCAATCATCTATGGTATATTTCTGTAAATGCGCTCGTTTCTTGTGGCACCATCCATCAACACAATCAGAGAGGAAATGAAAGTTCAGATGTAGTTTGCAGTTTTGTTGGGCGGGTGATGTAGCTATGCTGGCCCATCAACAGCTGCTGTCCGCTTATGTCAAAATCGGCACCTCGGAGCAGTCCACTGGAACCTCAAACAAGATGGCCCCATAAACCATGCTGAACCATGGTGGGTACCAGCAGTGGACAGGCCCTTCACTGGTGCAGTGTGAAACCAATGAGAGTTGAGACAGTGGAAAAGTGCCATATATTGTACATCACAGATGTGATAGCAGATTTATCTCTTGGATGTTGGAACACTTGGCCCAAAGTTGTTTCTGGGTCAATCTGGATGATGGGTATTGAAGTTTCCATAGTCCCCACATACTTTCTCTATAGCTTATCACATAGTAGCATTTCAACAGTGTTAAGTTCTCTATTCTTGTTCATGCATGTCTTGTTCCAGTAGCCCATTTCTCATCAAAATGTCCTGGTTCCCCAACAGCTGATACGGACTTTGTTCATTCGGGTGACGTCTGAGCCAGCATAGTCTCACTATCATTTCAAGGCAAAGACTTAAACCCTATGAATTCAACAAATATTATGAAATCAACAAGTCAGTGATGAGTATATACAGTATATCTGACCATAAAAGAAAATGCTTGTTGTATATTTATTGAGAGTAACAACAACTTGTGTCAATAATTTGGGGGAGGGGGATCTGCATCACTGTCAGCCAAGGCACACAACATTTGACGATGGTGTTGATTTGAAGAAATACTAGGTGCAGTGTTTAGCTAAGCAAACATTTGTGGTGACTGTAGTAATTTGCAAAGCTGATATTCTATCTTATGTATGACCAAGTGTATGAGTGAATGTTTATTTTGGCTTTGGTATGTGAAAGCTAGCATTTATAGTAGATGTAGAGAGAGAACTCATCACTTGACTGCCAGGGTGCCACGCAAACTGTTTCATTAATTCTCAGCCACTGAGGCATGTACACTCCCTGCTGGCCTCTGCTCCTATAGCAGCCAACAACTGACAGCACGTTGTGGTTTTCTGCTGTAATACGCCACATACTCAACTTTGTTTTCATAGCTTTCAAAAACAGACCAAAAAAAAAAAAAAAAACTAAACATGTCATTTAATTAGCAAACGTTGTATGCTTATATAAAGCATATCTTACTCTGAAAAGCTGCTAAATTAAATTTTACATATATTCAAAAGAAGAAAAAAAAAAGACTTTACTGGAAATCTATTGAATACTTGGGTTTTACCGTTTTATTTTTTGGTTTTGTTTTGGGTTTTTTCTTCTCTGGCTGGTCCTTCTGCATAAAGTAAAACAGCTGGAAAAATGCTTCTCAGTGACTTTGTGGTTGAATTGATATTTTTAAGAGCAGCGGGTGAATCTGGAAAGAGGCCGACAAAACCTACTGAGACTTTCTAAAGTAAAATAAGCAAAATGTGAGCCAGTTAATAATATTGTTAGTTGTGTTGCAAGTTCTCCAATGAGTAAAAAATTATTATATTTCAGTGGGACAGCTTTTGGCTGAGATGAAGAAACATGAAACATCAGCAGATCTGCCTAAGAAAGTGAATGTAATTAATCATAAAATTGCATTATCACATTTGTTTTCTCTTTCTTTTTCTTATTATTTCATATTTTACATCAATTCTTCACCTTAGCTTAGTCTTTATTTATTTAGGAACTTTATTTTCCTCTTTTAACCCACTGAAAACGTGCACACTCCATTCTCCCTATTTTTCTGTATGTGCAAATTTACCTGGGGCCTTGGTGAGCTGCAAATAATTGGCTGCTCTGAATGTGTGTATTCATGTTTTATTGGCAGTAAAATACATTATTCCCCAAACCCGCAGCGTTCCACTCATATCTGATTCTGCCTCTGGCAGGAGCACGTCGACATGTGCACAAGCACACAGACACTAAAGCGTTCGTATTTGCAGACAAACGTACATTGATACACGCATTCGCACACAGAAAGTGCAGGTTCTTCTTGACATTAAAATCAGATGGCAAAGCAGACACAAAAATCTGCAAGCTGGATGAAACTCAGTACTTTCCAAACAAGGAAACACGGACCGAGGAGCTGCTGAAGGGTAGAATAAATGAGAGGGGGGAAATTTTGACAGCTTCGTCTGAAAGTTTATGGGCAAAAGCTTCTCTTTGTTCGGTGATTAATGTTGCTGAAAAAGAGAGTGAGAGAAAGAAAGGTTGAGAGCAATAAAGAGCAACAGTGAGAGAATGACAGAGTGAAAGTGGGTGAGTGTGAGAGAGAGAAAGAGAGAGTGAAAGAAAGGGTGAGAGAAATACAAGAGTGACAGTAAGTGAGTGAGTGAGTGAGTGAGTGAGTGAGTGAGTGAGTGAGTGAGTGAGTGAGTGAGTGAGTGAGTGAGTGAGTGAGTGAGTGAGTGAGTGAGTGAGTGAGTGAGTGAGTGAGTGAGTGAAAGAGAGCAATAGAGAGCAAAGGAGAGAGCAAAAGAGAAAGTGCAAGAGAGAGAAAGCGCAAAAGAAAGAAAGTGCAAGAGAGAGAAAGTGCAAGAGAAAGAAAGCGTAAGAGAGAGAGAGAGCGCAAGAGAACAAGAGAGAAAGCACAAGAAAGAGAAAGAGCAAGAGAGAGAGAGAGCAAGAGAGAGAAAGAGCAAGAGTGAACGAGAGAGAAACACAAGAGAAAGAGCAAGAGAGAAAAAGCGCAAGAGAGAGCGCAAGAAAGAGCGCAAGAGAGAGAAAGAGAGAGAGAGAAAGAGCAAGAGAGAGAGCGCAAGAGAGAAAGAGCAACAGCAAGAGAGAGAGAGAGAGCGCAAGAGAGAGAGCAACAGAGAGAAAGCGCAAGACAGAGAAAGTGCAAGAGAGAACGAGAGACAGTGACAGACAGACAGACAGACAGTATGGATTGTGCTAAGAAAAAAATAACATGAAATGAATACTATTAGGGGCTGAGACAGTGTAGAGGGAACGCAGCCGACTTGAAACCAGAAAGTCACAGGTTCCTCACCATGCCCTCATGTCGTGGTGTCCTTGAGCAAGACACCTAATCCCCAACTGCTGCCCAGGTGCTTAGAAAGCTGCCCACTGCTCCGCCTAGGTGCATCTCTTGCTCAGGCTGAACTACAGTGTTTATTCACAGACACAATCTCTGCTTTGGCCTGCTCCGTTTCCGACCTGGGCTGGTGCACCCATTCTTAGTGGACCTGGTGGTCCGGGCTCCCCCAGTAGCACCGATCGGCATTGTCTAGCTGCAGGTTCAACAACTATTTTATAATGTCAGACAGGAAGCAGAAGCTTCGGCATCAGCTCAAACACATTTGTTTTACTTAATATTTTAACAGTATATATTTTTAATACACACATGGACATTTATTTAAATAGAAGTTTATTATTTTGATGCTACCATATCCTAAGTTACTCTAGTGCACAAGCTTTTTTCCTGTGTTGTTAAAAGAACAATAAAGTTAAATCGAAAAAACCTATTTATGTGCCGCAGGAAATTACAGGAATAAAAATGACAAAGCACAAGTAGTGCACAGCACCGTTATTTACCTAATAAATCTATAATAATAAATCTGTCAAATTACTTTGAACAGCTGACGAGAAGCTGAACTAACACACCTCTCAAGTTTGTGCCTGAAGGACAAGCTGCAGCTTTATATATCCCAAGTGCCTTAGATCAGGAGCACCCAAAATAGATTTGAAAGGAATCCATGTCTGATCCTTAACATAATGTTTGTATGCATGAGTCAGTGCCCTGACATGAGACTTTTCATATATTCTCATAAAAATTTAGCTTTCATTTGCACAACACATTGAAGAGTGTTGGTGTGTGTGTGTGTGTGTGTGTGTGTGTTACCTTCATCAATCCAAATCTGAGCACAACTGGGGCCCAGCGATGAAGATAAAAACCAGATGACTGTCAGACACACAAGACTGGACAAAAGGCCTGGCATCTAGAGACACAGTGGGGAAAAGATGATGGATTAAAGTTGCTTAAAATAATTCTGAAGCATTCATATTATTAACAGAAACAAAACAAGAGGTATTTAAAATAAAGTTTCTGTAATAAGCCTACATTTTGCACATTGATTTATAGTCAACAGTAATTATGAAGTCTTACTGAACTTTAAATAAAACGCGCATATACGTTATTAAACAGTTATGTTTCATTGTTAAAATTGTTCAATGACATATTTCTACAGAAAGCACATTAGACATCATTTGTGGGCAGACTAACAACACAAAGCGAGGGCCCACTCATGTCATCCGTACAGAAGCTGAACTTTATTTTTTATTTACTCCTCAATGTCAACCACATCTCTCCTCAGTGATTATGGTTTGAAAAACCTACTCATGTACATTAGAATAAAAGTACAGTAGAATAAAAATGTGAAAAAGAAACTACATTAAATAAATTACTTTGAATTTTTTTATTCTACTGTGTCAAACTAGACATGTTTAGAAAAGGAAGAAATCGCTGCATCCAGTGTTGCTGCTTGCAGTTTTATCAATAAATCTCACTAAATAATCTAATTCACATTGACTGTGGTTATCAGTCGACAGTTAATGTGATGTAGTTGAATTTAGTGTACTGGGTTCTGCTTCTTCCGTGTACAGAGGCACACAAGCACATGGAGAACATGCAAACTTCACACAAATACAGTCGATTTATTACAAATCTATTATTGATGTTAAGGACTCTGCTGACCCACTAAAACATTGTGTTACATTTGTGTTGACTTTAACTCAACACAGAATGATGATGCATTAGTTATTATGGACTATTAAATAAAATGTGCTGTTTTGATAATTATTTAAACATTAAAAAGTAGACGAGCTAAAAGCAAAATGTTAAAGACGCCTGATAAATTGTGAGTCCCATCTCAAACATGTTGACAAAACTCTATAGGACATGGAAAAAATAAAATAAAACGGATACATCCATGATACATCGAAGAACAAGAAAACTGCATTTTGTTTTCACGTTTAACCATTGTTTGTTTAGTCAGGTTTTCTAGTATAACTCACACCAGCTCATACTTAGTCTACAAAAAAAGAAGTCAACAGCTAACAATTTTAGCGCACATCTTTTGGCATGCTAAAACAGTCAAGCAAAATTTACTTTGTCAGATTTTCAAATCATAATTTAGCAATTAAATGTCAAAGTACAACAACACATTAAACAAGGATTTCAAACTGAATAGTATATTTCCTCACCTTTCTTTTCAAATATTACTTTTGAATCAGCAAAAATTACAAAAAATATAAACCAATGCCAACAAAGATACTGTAGGTGCCTCACAAGAACTTCCTCAAAGATGTTCTTGAAGTCTGTGTCAGGACCCAGAGACAAACACTGTTTCTACTGGTGTAGCACATCAGTGTTGTATTTACCACTTTAACGTCGCACAGCATACTCAGCAAATTTAAATATCACTGCCATTTCCCTCACTTGCCCCCCACCACCACCCTCCACCCAACCCCCACCCCTCCTTCATCAATCCACCGTTTCATTTTTTTTTTTCCCTTCAGCCTCTTCCAGTACATTTTGTGGTTGCAACCCAGCTGGACAACATCTGAACCCTGCTGTTTCCATCCTCAGGTGCATACTGATGTAGAGACCATATGTATGCACATTTTGCAAAACAGAACTCATCATTTGTCATTTGTGGCTTTGGCCACTTCTGCTTTGGCCACTTCCGCTTCGGCCACTTCCGCTTTGGCCACTTCCGCTTTGGCTTAATGTAGTTCTGTGTTTTCAAATGCTGTTGTGTTTTTTCAAATGTAATTTGGATTTGTAAAATGTTGTTCATTTTACACCTCAGGGCCACCGTAATTTTAGCTTTAACGTTTGATGTTGGTTGATGGCTTCAGCTTTTAGCAGCTTGCCTAAAAAGTCCTACACAAACAAGAGAATACTGATGCCTACATCATTCTATTTGCTGCTGGGGAAAAAAAGAAAACAGACGAAAAGCCAAAGCACATAATGTTTGCAATTCAATTTACAGTTTGCGTCACTGAAAAGATTGCTAGATATGATCAGCTGGAACTGAAAGCAATTGAATATAAGGATCACAAAACAAAGAACTTGGAATATGATGTAGACCCAGACAACAACTTTTCTTCTGTTAATGAAAACTGCTGCTATCATTCCATTGATCAATATAACCAGCAGATAGATTCTGATAATCTATAAATTATCCACATAAGACCATGAGCAGGGAAATGTTTCAGGAGACAGAGGGAGAAGAGGAAATTCAACAATAGGACAGAGGATGGTAACTCTAAATGGGGGGACAATGACAGGCAAAGGTGAAAAGCTGGCTGATAAGACGCAGAGAAGGAAGGTAGATATTTAATTTGTCCAATAGACCACGTGGAAAGACAGAAAGGTTTGCAACATTGCAAGTCTTGCTGCCTTGAAGGACTGCCTCATTTGCAGGCATAAATAGCTGTAGTCAACATTTATTCTCAAAAGAGGGAGAGACATAGAGTGACCTATAAGAGTGGGGGCAGGAGTACACAAGTAGACTGCATTCTGTGTATTAGAGGAAACCTTAGGGAGATTGGGTACTGTAAAGTTGTGGCAGGGGAAAGCATGGCCAGACAGCATCGGATGATTGTGTGTAAAATGACTGTTGGTGTGAAGAAGACAAAAAGAGTTAAATCAGAGAAAACCAAATGATGGAAGCTGAAGAAGGAAGAATGTTGAGTTCAGAGGGGAGCTGTTAAAGGCTCTTGGTGTAAGAAAGAGTTGAAATATGACTGGGCTACTACAGCAACAGTAATTAGAGAGAGACAGGTAGGACGGTTCTTGGTGTGTCATCTGAACAAAGATTAGATGATAAGGAAACCTGGTGGTGAAATAGTGAAGTGCAGGAAGCAATTTAAAGAAAGAATTTAGCCAAGAAGAAATATGACTGTGAGAGAACTGAGGAGAGGAGACAGGAATATAAGAAGATGAAACATAGAGCAAAGAGGGAGGGAGGTAAATCAAAGCAGAAGGTGTATGATGAGTTGTATAGGAGGCTGAACACTAAAAAAGGGCGAGAAGGACTTGTACAGATTGGTGAGACAAAGTGAGCAGGCTGGAAAGGATGTGCAACAGGTTAGGCTTGATAAGAATGTGGTGCACAAGTTCAAGTACTTGGGGTCAACTGTCCAGAGTGGATGAAGAAAAGTTTCAGGAGTGATTTGCGACAAAAGTGAGGCAGCAAACGTCAAAAGAAAAGTTTACACAACAATAGTGAGACCAGCTAAGTTGCATGGCTTGGAGACAGTGGCACTGACAAAAAGACAGGAGAAAGAACTGGAAGTGGAAGAAATTAAGACGTTGAGGCTCTCCTTAGGATCATCAAGGATGGGTAAGATTAGGAATGAGATTATCAGAGGTACAGCAGTGGTTGAACAAGCGGAAGAAAAAAAAAAATAGAGAGGCCAGACTTAGATGGTTTGGACATGTCCAGAGGAGGGATGGTGGGTATATTGGTAGAAGGATGTTATAAATGCAGCTGCCAGGAAAAAGACGAGGAGATATACAGCTGCAGTTAGAGAGGACATGGAGGTAGTTGGAGTGAGAACAGAGGATGCAGGGAGATGAAGGAAGAGAATGACTCACTATGGCAACCCCTAAGGACAGAAAAAGACATTAATTAAAGATTAAAACAATGAAAACTGTGCCAACATTGTTTCATGCCATTTAGAACACCTAAATGCTGTGAACAGTTCATTTATTCAGCTGCTAGAGTGAAACAAGCCGTGACCCTAACTGCTCATTTAAGTGTTAAGTGATGGCACTGGAGAAGATAGTAGAAGGGGATGTTAACAATTTCAAAACCATGTCTAGTTAGAAAATGTATTTTGGTACTGAATTATAATTTTTGTGCAACGACAAGTTTTGTTAGGTAAAGTTTTCTAGCTTTTGCATCATTACTTTTACTTTGCAAATTTAATACTCAATGCAAAATGTCCATCCATGTGATGCCTTAAAGCTGTAAATAGTAGACAACTATGAGATTCTCTGATTTCAGCGTGCTTTCTTTCAATGTTTTACGTGTATATATACATGTATGAGAGGGTAATCACAAGCCTATTTCCTGAGTCACACATTCGAGTCAACATTCTATTGTTACGCTCTAGGCAAGTCCCAGTAAAGACTGGTGAATGTAGCCATGGATACTGTCACCAGGATGAATCTGTAAAGTAAGAATCCACATATCCCGAAGACACAAAACAACAGAAGTCCCAAATCCACCACACAGCTTGCACAATTTGCTTATGAGAACAAAATTGCTCTTATATATTTGTAGACAGTATAACTACCAAGTGATTAAACATAATTGCTAAACCTGGACCAAAATTCCTCAGAGGAAAAATGTTCTTTCCAAGTGAACCGTATCATTGGTGACAGTGTAAATGTGTACTGACTAAAGTCAAACAACAGCTGTGAATAGAAACTCCAGGGTGTTTGGGGAATCATGCAGGGTTTTTAAAGTAAGTTTTCTTCCCCTACATTTTAACAATAAAACATACATTATGGTGAATTGAGGGGTGTTGGATACTCTGATTAATTCAATTCAAAACTCAGTTCTACTAACCTACAGTATTATATATGTGGCAGAACAATCTCACATGGTGAGTCACTCACTTTTGGCATGCCACTGCACATTCAGGCAGCTTTACAAGAGAAGAAACAAGGCAGCAACAGGGCAGAAAGAGAATAGGAAATATAAGAAAAGGAGGGGGGAACGTGCAAGCCTTGGGGTAGGGTAAATAGTGGTTAAAATTGACAAATGGAAAAAGAAAATGCACTCCTTAAGAATAAGAAAAAAGGCCAAGGCAAGTTAGCACTGAATACAGAAACTTATTTGGTGTTGGACAAGAAGTCTGTCCACCCGGATACTGTAAACCAAGTCAATTACAGTACATGCACACTAATTTACACTGGAATACT